CGGAATTGTAATCTGCAAAATATAATTATTGGAAATTATATACTTGCAAATATAAAAATATTTCATTAAATATTTATTTATTATATTATTATTATTATTTTATAATATAATAAAATAGAAAAATGAATTATTAATAGTAATAAAAAAATAATAAATGAATTACTCACCATGTAGTTGCTCCATTGTTGCCCGATGCCACCCCGGGCCTCCTCCTCCTCTCGTAGAAGCTTCGAAACACTTGCACGTTACTTTTTTTGAAACACTTGCACACGTTATTTTTTTCAAAACACTTGCACATGTTACTTTTTTTGAAACACTTGTACACGTTATTTTTTTCAAAACACTTGCACACGTTACTTTTTTTCGTTCACAACGTACGGCGACGCCCGAGTTTTGACTATCACATTTTCGACGCGTTTCGGTAAAACGCGAAAATCGCGGGAGCTTATTCGCGCGCGAATAAAACCGACGCTCCGTTTTCGGCGTCGCCGCTTTGTTCAAGGCCAATTATCAGAGGGCCTCATCGAACGATGACGGCGACTTCCCCGCGACGCACTCAGGAGTCGCCGATATTCCAGAATTGGGCATTACATGGTGATCGCGGTGTACGCGAAGAGCGAGAACTCGACGACGAACGACCTAACCTGCACGCTGCACGTCTAGCGCGAGACTCGAGACTGATCGCGTCCCATGACGACCCGCGCGCTACGCATCTCGCAGGAGACTGACTGATACCCAACAGCCAATCGCGAGACTCCGTTCGTATGGAGTCTCGTGATTGGTGCGCTGTAGGGGTCGCCTACCCGTATATAAGAGCTGCGTTGAACGACAGACCAGACAGATGCTTTTTGATGTTCTTCGGTGGTAGACGGACGACGCTCCTCGATAACATTGCATTATGCAGATTTTTTTAAATATATAGATTTTATAAATGGCCCTTTTTAGGGCCACCAATTTCTGACGGAAAACGTCACTCGTTCGCAATTAGTTTCCTTTATATATTCTATTTCTTTATTGTTCTCTAAATAACATTTATATTTATAATATCACAAATACTTTTATCAATCGCTTTTCATCATTGCATTTTATTTTAAATTTTTATTTCGTTATATTTTAAGAATATGTAGACGATTGAATTCTACTATTTAAAACAATCGATCCTAAAACTAATTATTCAAAAATAAAATACATTTTGATTTTATATATATCTTCCTATTTAAAAATTATATATTTTATACATTTAAATTATACATATAGCTATTATATTATTTCAAAATGTACACACAAATTTTTTTAATTATTTGCATATAAACATACGAATATAATCATACAAATAAATAAATAAATTCAAACATTCATGTGTGTATAGTTTGATACAATATAAAGATATTGCATATATCTTATGGCATAGTATTGTGTGAGAAGTAATATATACGAATATATGTGACATACAATTAAATAATTAAATAAGAAACTCATAAATTTGTGTGTACATTTTGAAATAATATAATAGCTATATGTATAAATTAAAATATATAAAATCTATATATTTTTATATAGCAAGATATTTATATATAGTATCAATAAATATATTTTTAAATTAGTTCTAGGATCGTTTATTTTAAATAGTAGTTAACTCAATCATTTGTATTTTGTATTTATATGTAATTGTATAAAGAAAAAGCATGTATAAAGGAAAAGAAATGGGAACGAGATATTTATATATGGAATCGATAAGTATTTTTTTGAATAATTAGTTTTAGGATCGTTTATTTTAAATAGTAGAATTCAATCAGCTCTGTATTTTGTATTTATATGTAATTGTATAAAGAAAAAGAATGTATAAAGGAAAGTTGCGAACGAGTGACGTCCTCTGCCTGAAATTGGTGGCCTTAAAAAGGGCCGTTTATAATTATCGCCAATTTGTAATTCAACCAGTCTTGTTGCCAAAGATTGAAGAATCTTAATTATTAAATAAAAATATCTAATGTCTGGCCATGGAAAACGTTAAGAAAAGTGAAGAAACATTCAACCATTAGATATTTATCAGACGAGTATCAGATTTGCGATTATCGAACGAGGGATCCTTTATAGATGTTGATCGATGCGATGCGCACGACGCTCTAATATATTCTGTGAAGCGCGCCTGCTTCGCCACGCTATTTATACTAAGCTGCGGGACCCTCGAGCGGCCAATCACGTGCCATACAGCACGCCGCGGCACGTGATTGGCCGCTCGAGGGTCCCGCAGTTTAGTATAAATAGCGTGGCGAAGCAGGCGCGCTTCACAGAATATATTAGAGCGTCGTGCGCATCGCATCGATCAACATCTATAAAGGATCCCTCGTTCGATATAGATATTTTTATTTAATAATTAAGATTCTTCAATCTTCTTTGGCAACAAGACTGGTTGAATTACAAATTGGCGATAATTATAAACGGCCCTTTTTAAGGCCACCAATTTCAGGCAGAGGACGTCACTCGTTCGCAACTTTCCTTTATACATTCTTTTTCTTTATACAATTACATATAAATACAAAATACAGAGCTGATTGAATTCTACTATTTAAAATAATAAACGATCCTAAAACTAATTATTCAAAAAAATACTTATCGATTCTATATATAAATATCTCGTTCCCATTTCTTTTCCTTTATACATGCTTTTTCTTTATACAATTACATATAAATACAAATACAAATGATTGAGTTAACTACTATTTAAAATAAACGATCCTAAAATTAATTTAAAAATATACTTATTGATACTATATATAAATATCTTGCTATATAAAAATATATAGATTTTATATATTTTAATTTATACATATAGCTATTATATTATTTCAAAATGTACACACAAATTTATGAGTTTCTTATTTAATTATTTAATTGTATGTCACATATATTCGTATATATTACTTCTCACACAATACTATGCCATAAGATATATGCAATATCTTTATATTGTATCAAACTATACACAAATGAATGTTTGAATTTATTTATTTATTTGTATGATTATATTCGTATGATTATATACAAATAATTAAAAAAATTTGTGTGTACATTTTGAAATAATATAATAGCTATATGTATAATTTAAATGTATAAAATATATAATTTTTAAATAGAAATATATATATAAAATCAAAAAGTATTTTATTTTTGAATAATTAGTTTTAGGATCAATTGTTTTAAATAGTAGAATTCAATCGTCTACATATTCTTAAAATATAACGAAATAAAAATTTAAAATAAAATGCAATGATGAAAAGTGATTGATAAAAGTATTTGTGATATTATAAATATAAATGTTATTTAGAGAACAATAAAGAAATAGAATATATAAAGGAAACTAATTGCGAACGAGTGACGTTTTCCGTCAGAAATTGGTGGCCCTAAAAAGGGCCGTTTATAAAATCTATATATTTAAAAACATCTGCATAATGCAATTTTATCGAGGAGCGTCGTCCGTCTACCACCGAAGAACATCAAAAAGCATCTGTCTGGTCTGTCGTTCAACGCAGCTCTTATATACGGGTAGACGACCCCTACAGCGCACCAATCACGAGACTCCATACGTACGGAGTCTCGCGATTGGCTGTTGGGTATCAGTCAGTCTCCTGCGAGATGCGTAGCGCGCGGGTCGTCATGGGACGCGATCAGTCTCGAGTCTCGCGCTAGACGTGCAGCGTGCAGGTTAGGTCGTTCGTCGTCGAGTTCTCGCTCTTCGCGTACACCGCGATCACCATGTAATGCCCAATTCTGGAATATCGGCGACTCCTGAGTGCGTCGCGGGGAAGTCGCCGTTCATCGTTCGATGAGGCCCTCTGATAATTAGCCTTGAACAAAGCGGCGACGTCGAAAACGGAGCGTCGGTTTTATTCGCGCGCGAATAAGCTCCCGCGATTTTCGCGTTTTACCGAAACGCGTCGAAAATGTGATAGTCAAAACTCGGGCGTCGCCGTACGTCGTGAACAAAATAAAGTAACGGTGCAAGTGTTTCGAAAAAGTAACGTGTGCAAGTGTTTTGAAAAAATAACGTGTGCAAGTGTTTCGAAAAAAGTAACGTGTGCAAGTGTTTCGAAGCTTCTACGAGAGGAGGAGGAGGCCCGTGGTGGCATCGGGCAACAATGGAGCAACTACATAGTGAGTAATTCATTTATTATTTTTTTATTGTTGATTTAAAGTTATTTCTTTAATTTTATAGAATTTATAAAACAATGTTGCATACATATATAATCACGTTGTGTTCGAACACGTTTAAATGAAAAGGCAATAATATATATATTAAATACACATAAATTTCTAGTACTCGAAGTACACTGAAAAAAGTTTGTTAACTTAACTAAATTTTTCAATTAAATGCTGTTTCGTTAATTGAACATATAACAGTATTTAAATTAAATTAATTTAATCTAATAAAACATATATTTGACTTAAATATTAATATAATTCGATTAACGAAACATAATTGTACGTATGCAACATTGTTATATAAGTTCTATATAATTAAAGAAATAATTTTAAATTGACAATTAAAATTAGAAAGAGAAAGAGCAAGGTAGCTAAAATATATTAGTCATGAAATTCTTCATTATAATATTCAAAGATATATAAAATGATTTTGGGCATCTTGCGGAATTAGCATTAAAGGCGATGTATCGATCCGGAAGTAACTATCTTCAAGTATCGATATATTCATAATTCTGGGTACAAAAAGATATATATGTATTCCGTAGTCTCGAACGGTTCTCATGATTAGTACGTATATATATGCAGGAAACTTAAAGTGGTTTTTAATGCGAGTCACACAGAGCGCGAGGCTTTATGAAACGATAATTGCGCGAAATTATAAAATTGCAAATTATAGTGAGAGAGAAAGAGAGAAAGAGACGGGCGACGTTTAAGTTGTCGACGCATGGAAAATAATCGTGCGAGGCACAAGAGATTGACAGGTTATCGCGCGCAATTCCGGGCCGGTCGAGATCGTGCGCGGCGCACTTCGCAGCGAACCGTGGCCGGCTGCGCGCGAGAGCTCCGCGCATCGAGTCAGTCGCGCTCCGACCTCCGTCGCGGAAAGGTCCACGTTGCTGCTCTCTCTCAGTCCGTTTCCCTGTGCGCGTCGTTCTCGATCGTCACATCGCGGATCTTATCGGCGCGTGTGTTGTACATATACACGAAAGTGAAGACCGAGTAATATAGCGCGAGTGTTCCTGCTTTTTTTACTCGATTTTAAACGATTGGTGCAAAAGTACGGAAGTTCTTCTCACGCCGGCGAGACGTCGGAAAGAGATCGCCGGTGGATGCTTTTTACGTCCTCTCCCAGCTGTCGCGAAATCGTCTCAAGGACTGCTCGGTGAGTACGTGTCACGTATACTCGTGCATATACACACAGACGTATGCGCGACGAGCGCGGTGTAGCAAAAAGATTCAGGATTCCGATGGAATTTGTATCTCAGGTGAGCAGCGTACGGTGTGAACGTTGCGCTTTCAAATCGTGCATAACGCGATCACGTGACTGCAAGTTTCTTTCGCTTCATTCGATACGCGCTTCCGGTAAAGTTGCTGCAGATGCGGCTTTGCAAAGCGGAACGTGGAAATATTTGATGAAATATCCCGTTGTCAGTCAGGCATATATTGATTTTGCCCGTCTTTTATTTCACGCGAGAGAAAAATAAAAAAAAGGAAAAGAAAGACTGTCCGGATATGTGACTGCGTCTAATCGTAATAACGTGTAATATGCTTAATTTTATTAAAATACGCGTGCAAGTTTATTTGCAAAACATGGCATAACACATTGCTTGTAAAGTAAATAAAAATGTGTCGATAAAAATAATAGAAAAATTGCTGAAATTGTTTATAGAAACTTCGTTCATCGTCGTTTTTTTTTTGTTTAAGAAAAATATTTTCCAATATTTATCACACGCGCGCGACATGTTCTTTTTACATTTTCCATATCCGAATGGACGTTTTATATTGATATTTCAATAAACGATGAGAGAGAAATGGGAAGAGAATCTATTCTTAGAACCCGGTCAGTATTTTATTTGCGCATTGCAAATTTAGATTGCTCATTTAAGCGTGTAAATTTTTCATATCCGCAGAAGGCAAACATACGCTCCGAAAAATCGGAACGCGCACTGCCAGTCTTTATTTTCCGGACTGTAAATATGCTGACAAGGGTAGATTTTCGTGGCAAATATAGAAGCATATTCTATTTGTGTCAATATTTCCGAGTACGAGTGACTGTTGTAACTCTACTGTTAGTCAATGGTTTGACGATCTTTTCTTTCTTTTTTCGTAATAAAACTGGTTATAGAATGTGTTATACATAGTCTGATATTTTTGCATTGTTTCTATTTGAACAATCGCTAATCAATGTTTTATTTTTAATTAAAATATGTGGTCGAAATATTTCAGTTCGCTTTTCATGTTATGTGGACATATGGAACGAGTGAGATGTTTTTTTTATAATATATATTTATAATTTTATTTATTTATTTCATAACGTAAGCGAATGAGATATAAAATAAAATAATGTAAAATAAATAAATCTCTGTTGTTTTAACTGAAAATGAAATGAAAGAGTTATCAAGTGTGTCAGGTTTTTGTATTAAAATCGCTAGTTAAATGTGCTTATGAGACAAATTCCGCAAATAATCCGGGAAACTAGAAACGACATATTCAGCGCTACGTGATCTTTTTCAGTTTCACTTAACATTGTTTGTATATTTAATTGAAAAAGGAAAGAAAAGATATACCATAAAAGAATTGCTGCGAAAACGTGGACCGAATGTGTTTTCCGATTTAAATACCCTGAAATCTAATTACACGCGTACTTGTTTTGACAATGCGCGGAGAAAGAGATTACTGACGATAGGAGGGAGAGAGAAATAGAGAGAATTCTGCCGGTTCTTTCCGGTTGTACCGGTTCGAGACGTACGAAGCCTGTGAAGGAGACGCGCAGAGAGACAGATGAGAGAAAGAGAGAAAGAATAAATAATTGATTGATAAGAAATCCGTCGTGTACGACATCGTACAACTTCCTCTCGTTGTATGTCTTGAGATATTCAGAGATGATATCGATGCTATAACAATCAAGTATTAATACTTGGTCATATTAAAAAATTAATTTTACAACTATATTTGAATTGTAAGATATTTAAATCATATTTTTATATTTTAAATATTCCGTCTAATATCTTTAATGCATTAAAAAATCTGCAAAACTTTAATTTTAATTTTTGATTCTCTTATAAAATAATTGTAATAATCATTGTAATCGATAAGAGTATTTATACATATATATAATCGTCAGTTTTGCATAATTTTGGGAATTTGTGAAAAAAGAAAAAATAATTACTGATACACAGAAAATTAAAAAGAAATTAATATAAATTAATAAGTTAAATACAGTCGCGTATGAGAGTATTCTTTTTCTTAACATTTAGATATACATATATTCGAGAGATTCAAGCGAGTAAAGCAGCGATTGTGAGATTAGTAAACTTGTTATGTAAATTATGTATTTGTAAGCGAATTGAGTTGTACGCCCTTAAGTAATATGTTGAGCTTGTAAACTAAAATATCCCGCGGGTGTTCTACTTCATCGGAGTACCAAAATATGTATTCCGCACGAGTATTGGGGTGCACATCGAACAGGCTTTCGTGTTAAAGCAACACGTTTGTGCAACACACCGGCCCACGTGTGTCTCCCTTCCCATCCCTCTCTTTCTCTCCCGGGATATTGCGTGTCGGGCACAATTCGAGGTTTATTCGAGTCTCGGAGTTGTTCCCGCTGAAGCTGTGGGAGAGCTTCCTCGTAATATCCGTTATTCGGTTCCGCGACCTCGGAAGTTGCTGCGAAACGTTGACGGGATTTATCTTTCCCTCGGCCAAAGTTGCCGGAGAAATAAGGCGAGCCTTCCGGTCGTCGAGCTGCTCATCGGAGCGATGTGACGGGGTTCGAATTCAGGGTCTTATGAAAGAGCTTTAGGCGTCCTGCTCCGAGATTCATCGGCGCTCGACAGAAGATCGTCGTTGCTCTGTTCCGGGATTAAAGCGAAATGCGATCGTTTCACGGAATTGTAAACACGTAGTTTTAATTTGGGAGTACCTATATATGTGAAAAATGCGTAGTAGATAAATAGATTAATATATAAATATATAGACATGACAGATATTTATATATTATTTTATTAAATTATAATTATTTTTCTATAAATTTATATATTGTATATAATAGAACGTATAGAGAATCTATAAACGAAACTCTTCGATATCTTTAAAAAATCTCTACTTTTTGCTCATTTTTCTTATAATAAAAAAATTTTTGTTAATAAATTTCATGACAACATTAGGTGTATTTATTTTTATCACGGGTATATAAGAATATATATATATACATATATAATAACTTAAAGTAATTCGTCGAGAATAAAATCTTTTATCACTTACGATAATCAAGGAAGCTTAGAAACGTGTAACACAACGTTCGCGAGAAATTCCGATTTGAAGGTTGAAGACCGAGATTCCATTTTGCGGTTTCGCGGTGCGACGTTAAGTGAATCACATCACGGGAGAGGCGGTTAAAACGCGGCGGAGTAATTTTCCCTCGTTATGCGGGGGCATCATCGCGATGCATCGCCGACAGATTTTAGCATGACGATTCAGCATAACAATTCTTTCGCACACGTTTCATATTCATTCGTTGCCAGCGAGGCCGACCCTTAAAATAATCTCTGCCGCGAATCTAGGCTGCCGCGCTGAGAATACGTCGTATCGCGAATACGTTTCTAATTTGATTTACCTTGTTCTCGCCGACGCGCGGTTCTCGGTGCGATAAATCCACGCCGAGACGTAAGAGATCTTGGTTTAGCACTACCAACAGAGAATTACAGATTGTCGACGGAAAGTAATAATTTACACACTAATGGTCTCTAATGGCATTGTATCGGATTTAATCTTCGATGAATCTCTTCATAACTCGATATATTTTTATATGCAGAATAAATATAAACAAACAGAAATTAGTTTGAGGAACGATTTTGTTGTATACATTTATAAATAAATTTACGCGTGTTTTAGTTTCTTTGGTAGAGCAGTTTTATATTTTTAAATAAAAACTTTTTTAAATACAAAATCATATATGAAAAGGGCTGTAACATATGAAAGAACCAGATGTAACAAACTTGTTCTTAAATTGTTTTGTAATGATTTGATCAAAATAATTTTTTATATCAAATAAATATTTTTCACATCAAATCAATATTATTAGTTTCAAACAAATTATTTACTTGGGATTGAAATATTTATTCGAATTCAATCCATTTCTTTTCAGTGATATACTGATATGTTAGATCCTTTTCAATTTATTATTCTAATTTTTTAATTTTCCACTTTGATGGAATTATCTCTCTTTAAGAAATTTTTACGTCTCCGAAAAAGCAATTGTACCTGCGATAGCATCTGAGAAAAAGGAGAAAAAGGACGTTCGATGTTCGGTATTGAAAGAGTTGAGCTTAGTTTAGGCGAGAAAAGCCGGTTGTGCGGACGGATTGCTAATAGTGATAGATTACACGCCGTCAATGTTGCGCTCTCGGTTCTCCCTTGTTGCTTAACAGTTGCTTCACAGGTGCAATACATGGACGAAGTGAGCTCGTTCTCGGTGTCAAGTGTCTCGTTATCGTCGTTATCTCGCGCGCATTAGCTATATTCGCGTCATAGGCGCATGGCTGTCAAGCAGCCCGCATCCGACGAATTCTCAGCGACCTCGTGTTACGCGAAACAACGACGTGAAATTATACGTCGCTCCGAATTACACTTGAACGCAAATTTGCAGCTGAAAACTTAAATTAAATCCGTCTGGACGACGCCTTATTCTCTCGATTCAAAGACGCTGTTTAAAATTTAACTCCGACGATGGAAAATGAATATTTCACGGCGTAAGCAACGCGAGATTACGGTGCGCGTTTATTCTTTTATTTCCATTTATTCTCTTTTATGTCATCGAACCTTAATCAATTTTCGTTCCAGAAAAGATCGCGAAAAGGAATTTTCCTTTTTCTCTTTTTAAAGCTGATGTATCTAAATTGTCGCGCTGCGCGAAATATCAGATATAAAAGAGTGTGTTCGTTCTTTCGATATATATATATATTTTTTTTCTTCGGATATATCTTGAACGCTACATTTCGCAATTTTCTCATGCCGCATATACAACTTCAGAAACATCAATTGATGTAGATAGATAGAAAGAGAAGTTTATCTTTAGATTTCTCCGAATTCGTGAAATAAAAATCTAAGAAATTGTAAGCAAATTCAACACGACGTGTCGGAATATGTACGGAATCTGCATAA